TTTCATTGAACTTCCTGGTTCCTCACCTTCCTTGATCACTTCGGTCTCCATGCCTTGGTACCCGATCTGTTCTGTGTCTAAGGGTATCTTTTCCTCCTCTTTCACTGCTCTGGTCCTATACTCCTTGATCCATTTGGCATGTAGTTCCCTTCGAACTTCAGCTCTTTCACCCACACCTTTCTGTCGGTGGATGATAGCTCGGCGTCGTGCTTTCTCCTTACGCCATGCTTCGTTGTGCGGAACTCCTGCTGCGATAGCCCTGAAGTAGCGCGCATCATGCCATTGCTGATCCGTCAGGTTCTCTTTGGTCAGCATCTTCACAGGGTTTTCTCTGGTACTCTTATCCTGTTTTGAGATGTAGTTGCGTAACTGCTTCAACTCCTCTTCAATTTCCTTGATGCGCTCCTCATGTCTTTGAACTTCTTCCTCATCTTCAGCATTTTCGATCATTTCGGCCAACTTACGTTTCTCATAGTGCAATCGGCCAACTTGAAGTCCTTCGATGGTACGATGCATGAGAATGCCAGTCATCGGGGTCACAACTCTGCCTGAATCAGGCAGGGTCGTTTCCTTTGTGCCTGGTTTCTCATCATCTTTTGCTTCCATTTCATTCTCATCCTTCTCCGGCGATTTTGCCAACTTCTCCAACTCCAATCGCCTCTGGACCTCATTGTCGTCCTTTTCAGCCGTGAGGAATTCCTTGGCTTCATTCAGGATCTTCCTGATGTTCTCTCTTTCCTGATCCATGTCATACTCTTTCATTTCATCAAGGTATCCTTCCATCACAGCTTCGACGTCCTCGTCATCTTCAGCTTCATATCCTGGATCTTCATCAGGCTCTTCTGGTTCTTTGGTCTCAGCCTCGGCTTCATCTTCGACTTCATCTTCAGCTTCAGAATCTGTGGTATCATCCACAGTATCTTCATCTTCTTCTCGGATCTCCGGCGCTGCCTGGCCAGTTTCAGCCGACCCAACTCCGTGGGCAGACCTCCTTGCAGCATAGTCCATTGCTGCACTTGTAGATGGCCCTGCACGATCATCGCATGAACTGCAGGCATCTTCGAGTCCTTCTCGGCGGAACACCATCTGAGCCATCGACTGGGCAACCGATCCACGGTATTTGCTTGCAGCTTCAAGTGATGCCGCAAGTCTTTGTCTGTACCTTGTGATCGGAATGTCCCTCCATGTCATCGTAGCTCCTTCTCTCAACAGTCTTCGGTACCTTTTCCTTGCTTCTACTCGAGTTGCATCTGGCAATCCAACATTCGGTACTTCGACTTCTCCCGGTACTGGTTCGTCGTCCGAGACTGCAGCCAACATGGCAAGCTCGAGATAGCCGGTTTCGGCCTCTCTTTCAGGTTCCTGATGTTCACCCTGTTGTTCCATGCTGCTGATTTGTTTCCCTTTTCCTTTGGATTTTCCTCCTTTACCTTTGCCTTTGTTGTTGTTGCTACTGTTGGGGGGTGATCTGCAATCCTTCTGGTAATGTCCAGCCTTTCCGCAGTTGAAACAAACCACGGACAGGCTTGAGCCAGAATTGCCACCATGTTTTCCCTGTTTTCCACTCGACTTACCTTTTCCTTTATCTTTCGATTTGCCTTTTCCTCCATGTTTGCCTTTACCTTTGGAACCCTTTCCACCTTTCTTGCCTTTACCTTTGCCAAACCCTCCAATGTCCATGTCATCTTCACCTTTCGGTTTGCTGCCAAGTGACTCAATTTTGAGCTTCACTCCAACTCGCGTCTCAAGGTCGCTGGCGAGTTCGGCATGCATGTCATCGAAGTCCAAGAAACGACTTCTATTAAGTTGTAGGTGTCTTTCGACCTCTGGAGGGCACATGGACTCCAAGATCGACATCTTGATGTCCTGAGCTATGCTCTGTCTGTTTCCTGCGCTGTCCTTTCTGCTCTCGTAGCGGTTCACAAGTTCCATCCATCCTTCAATCCTCTCACTGAGTTCCTCAAGCTTGCATTTTCCTGGATTCAAGATGTGCCTCAAGAGTGCTGATTTCTTGGCACCAGTAGAGGGATCGTATCGGCGATTGATACGTCGCCAGGCCTCGAGTCCATTGGCCTTTTCTGTATTCCTCAAAATCATGAACGGTTCTCCCTCGAGTAGATTCTGCAACACAGAATAAATCTGTGCGCTCTTGTCCTTCAGGTCATCCACTGGACTAGCCGTGCCCACGCCGAAAGCAGCTTGGGCCCGAGCTTCCGTCACAGTGTTTTCCTGTTCTTCACACCAATTCAGTACTTGCTCCATCTCCGGGAACACTGAAAACATGAATGACTCTGTCTTGATTCTCCATCTGAGGTAGCTCTCACTCTCTTTGCCACTGAACTTATCCGACTTTCCGATTCCTCTATTGTCCACTAGGTTGATTTTCTTTTCGTCTTTCTTCATTGCGTTTGCGACTTCTGTCTGTGCTGTTGCTAGTGCTTGAATTGCGGGTCCCATCTGTGCTCCTGCCTCTTCCAATCCTTGCATGCGGCCTTCTAACAGAGCGTTCCTTTCTTGGCTTTGTTGGAGCAACTGTCCAAGCTGATTCACTCGATCCGCCAACTGAGCTAACTGCTCTTCCGGGGTAGCCATTGGTATCACTTACCCAAGGAGCCCTTTACCGGAGCCAGCGCTCCGCTACCACTTTCAGAAAATATGCACAGCAAACAGCACACTCAACTATTTTACCCTTGAGCCAAAATATACGTACAACACAGTGGTTGTATTACGCTTATGTGGAGGTGTAAATTTCAACATTTTCTGACAAGTGTGCTGCAGTGTATATATATATATAATGACATACACAATGTACAATATTGTAATAGCAACACATGCAACACTGCAACACCTGCCATGTCCCGCCCTGCTCTCAAAGTTTCGCTGCCAGGGAACTGGGCATGACAGGCTGCTCGGCCGAAATAACCATGGCCATGGCAAGGGCAATCAAGTCTATGGAGACTAAGATGGGCCCAATAACAACCACCCATATAAACAACACACATGGGCTTGATATGATCTGATTGGGATTGATTTCTCCGACCCGACCCACATCAGGAATATATGACTAACAGTAAAAACCGACTTCAATTATCAGTGAAAATAGATAACAGCAAGTAGTGGGATTGACGGGTCTTGATTCCCAATGTTGTGGACGCCATGGAGGGGTAGCTACCGTTGGGGGAAACCCACCAGCAAAGCTGGATGATTTTCACGTCCGAGATCATCACGCGAATGTCGCATCAACAAAAAACTGGGGCATAGAAACCCCCCATGAGCGCAGGATGAGCGCAGGTTTGTCTCCTACCTAAACATGGCCCGGCTGAGAGAGCCAAAGAGTCGTATGCGGGGCTGCAAGCTCTTCTGGACCAGGGATGACTTGGGCCACCGGTCGGGATCATAGGTTAATTGTCTGCGCGGGAAGCAATCAGATCAGCAATATGTTTGGTATGATAATGTATTATAGGAAATTAATGGAAATTATAGGAACATACCACAGGATGCCTCAAAAACAGTCTAAAGGACAAACACTTGAAGCTTAAACTATGACAACTATAATAAACCGAATGGTTCTGGGGGGCATAGCACGTCTCCAGCCGGGAGCTCCAATGCTTGACCAAGGGCCTCGCCAGTCACCAGCCCGCACTTCCGCACCAGTCCTGGAGCAAGAGATCCCTCACTGGAACACAGGAAAACAGTGGATTAAACATGATGCGACTCAGAATAAATGTTATATATAATATATATGTTGCATATAATTCAATATAACTTATGTAACTTAATATAATTTATAACTTATAACAATGAAAGGGAGCAAAGACAGGTTTGGAGAATGTTTTTTTTACCAAAAAAGTTTGCCACTCAAACCGTATAAAATCCAGATTAAATTCTGGGGGCATTCCGGCTCCCCAAACATGATGGGGAAGAGTTTGAGTTGTTTGTTTGTTTGTTTCTCAGCATTGTTTAGTTGTATTGTATCTTACTATTTATGTCAAATTGTAATTGATCATGTTTCTCAGTTTTGCTCATCCTTGTTCATTGTATTCAATGGCTTTGTTGGTGGACTTCTGGCACAAATGGCTTGGGATGGCTTGGGCGAAACGTAAGTCAATCGAGTACATATGCAAAAGGGGTCGTAGAATCTGGTCGTTCAAACCTTGATGGATCCCTATATCTGGTATATGTTCCTTATCTTCAGCGCTTGTGCCCACAACTGGGAAGCTGCGTTCCTTTAGGATCATCACCCCAGGTACAAAAGGGTACGCTGGGTTTATGGATAATCTTTGCCGGGGTTATAGTGATGACAGCTTTATAAACCTTTCAAAAAGAACCGTCGAACCCAACATGATCCAACAATGGAGGTTCCAGGTTGCCAACGCCTCGTCAGTCACAGCAGAGCGCGCCTAAGGCACCATGCTTGGGACCATGCTAGCCCTGGATCAATAAATGCCCAGTTAAATTTTACGAATATAAATGCCATTTAGAAACTTGGAATTATCGCTATTTGTGGGACCTCACACCTTAGTAAAAAATGTACTAATCATTGGCGAATATTTTTCACACCAAATCAAAACGGAAAAGAAGAATGATGAGAGCCTCGATCTCAAAAATGCATCTCTAGCCACAGTGATGGAACATGATTTTCTGTGACCTACTGAGGTTCAACGGTTTGGCTGACATGTTGTGATGCAAAAGGAACGCGCAGCAGAGGTACAGTATATAATTGGATCATATTAATATTGGATCCTGATTCATGCACGGGAGGTTGCGAGTAAATTTTGGTCCTGGTCTTTCAAATGGACGCCCTCACATGTTACCATTGGACAAAGGTTAGAAGATACCAGAAAACCCTATCTCCAAACAGTCCAAAAGGACAATGATATTAATGATTATTTATGTCCCCATCCTACCTGACTTTGTTGCCAGATCTCAACCCCTTCTTTGACTGGTACTGCTGTCACCCTCACATGCCCATCAGCCAGAATCGCGCAATTTCCCAATATTTTTCAAGCCCATTCACAGGCGCAGGTGATTCTGGTGTGAAAAGATGTTATAAAGTCTATACAAAGAACTTGCACAGCAACTGAAAACATCTGAAAACGCTGCTTCTGAGCCACCAAAATTTTTAGAGACCAGTCACAGCTGCTGGGACATGGATAGCTTCGATCCGAGGCCAGCAGCCTGAATTATTTCATAACATCTATTCCCCTAGACAGATCCAACCCATCCACAACCACCGGTGATTGCACTGCAGGCGCTCCGACAGGCGCCTTGGGGCCGACTGCAGGCACCTTGGGTCCGACTGGCGCGGGCAACAGCGCGCTGGTATCCAAACCCACTGCCTTAGGCGCTTCGAAGGACCTTGGCAGCTCGGCGCTCGTGGGTTTCTTGCTGCGTGGATTCGGATTGGCAGTCCATTGCACCACCTGCGCACCAGGGGTACTCCCATTGGAATCTTCCCCGAAAGGATCGATGTCTCTGTACAGTGCTCACCCGTGACTGTTGGTAAAATATCCGCTTTATTCCGCTTTAGTAGCTGTTGCATCCATGTGTGTGCGTGTGGATGAAAATCAGGTACACCAAAATGGGATGGTTTACTGGTTTACTAATTGTAGTACCTCTGCGGTCCCCTTGGTCTTGGTCGACAGGTGATATCTTGACCTTCACTGCAAAAATCATTCATGTTTCTTAATTACTCCCCCTTAGGTTCTCTCAGGGCTAGCCGCCCACTTTTCCGTGCTCACCATCTCCCACGGTCACGCGCTGCCTTCTTTGGATGCGCTCGCCACTAAGCACCTTCCTTAAATTATCCTTCTTGGGCAACCATGTTATATTGAGCATCAAAATTCCGCAGGAATAAGGGGCTTAAGATTTAAGATCACCAAGGTTCTCAATTCATGCACTTCATGGGTGTTGTCACATGTCAGACTTACCAACCCAGGACTCCAACCCATGAACACCCACATGATGCGCAATGAGGCCCAACTCACCCAAAAAGAAAGGATCCAAGTGGATCAAGTAATGCCCAGCACAAAGTTTCTGTCTTCCCCTGCTATACTAGCTAATGGACCCAACTCGTCCAACCCCATTCTGGTTGAATGAGGAGTCCCTTGACTTTGAGACTGAGAAAACAACACACAATGGGTGTGGGTCCAATTGTGTATTCCAAATAGTTGGGCATATATATATATATAAACTACATAATACCAAAAATACGGCATGTTTAAACATATTAAAAATAAAACTATCACATAAAAATAAACTAAGTCAGGCCATTATGTAACCAGGACATACCAGGACCATCTCCGGCCCTGCCTGGACCTCCTGATCGCTCACTTCCTTCAGCTCCTCATTGATCACCCGCGCCGCGTTTCCGGGGGAGGTCCCCGCCAGGAGCTCACAGGCCTCCAAGCTTTGCTGCTCGCCTCCCGGCGGTTTTTAACGGGATGCCAAGGGAAAGCCATTGGTATGTCATTTTGCTCCCCAAACAATGTATATATATACCGTAGCTATAGAGAACTGGTGAAAACAAGTGTCTCAGTGTATTGACTCTCTCAGGAACTTGCATAAGATCAAGGGTTGCAGGTCGGGTCTGATCAGGGTTGGAGCCGCGCGCTGCTGGGCACGGGTTTCACGTGGGTCAGCTTGCACAAGATATGTTTGAGATTTTGACAGCGCAAGCCCGCGCAAGGTCAACGTAACGGCTTGGTCTCATTCGAAAACGCTCTTTCACTAGCAATTCCTAACGGTTTTTGGAGCATGTTGGAGCTATTAGTCCCCTTTGTGTGGCAGGCGGCTTGCGCGGAAGTTTCTATGCGGCACACTTGACGTTAAGAGTTCGCGGCCTGCGTGACCCAGTCATCAACCTCCAATGCGAGTTTTGACCACACACGCTCTTGATTCTATGAGTATTTCCCAGAGCAATGGTTTTACTAATATCTAGAACTATCTATATAGATTTATAGAAATGTATTATCATATGTGTGTATATATGAAATGATATATATATATATATAAATATATATATACCACGCAAATCCCCAAGGCCACAAAAGTGTTGCTTCCCAATCTCTCAACCTGCATCTGGGGACCTCGGCCCACGAGTTTCGGTCACAATGTTTGGTCAAAACATGTCACACTACCTTCATCTTTAGGTTCAACTACTGTAAAGGTTGTACTGTTTTACCCACTGTGTCACAACATCAGTGTTTTCTTTTTACATCTTTTTACCATTTTTTACCACCCAGCCTGCCTTCAATTTCGATCTCGAAGCACAACTTCACTGCCTCTCCCAGCCGTCGCAGCTTGCTGTTCAACTGCGCCAGCGCATCGCCCGCGCAGGCCCAATTCAGAGTCACGGCGGCTTCGGCGATGGCTAAGCCGGCCAAGCGGATGAAGGCCTTCTTCAAGCCTTGCCTGGGAGATTGGCAGCGTGGTCAACCAAAATATTTCATTATCAATAATTAATAATGATTAATTAATACTTACTAAAATCTTCAAACTTCAATCCATTTCAAACCATTCAGACTCCGGGGATTGGTGGATTGGTTTGAGGGCATTTTTACTGCTAAACTCATGGTCTACAATCAAATATAGAACATGTCCTGTAAATATTCCGTTCCAAGAAATCTCGGAATCTCCAAACACCGATGTTTATTGTTGGGGTATATTGATTTGTTGAAGAAAAATCCGGTACAAACATGCACAAACCGCAACTTTTCCACCTGGAACATGTCTGTGGTTTCTGCCAAACATTTCCCTGGGAATCCCTGGGATGTCCCGAACTGTGAAGAACTTCATGGCTTTAAATTTCAAATGGAAAAGAACGGAAAAAACATCTTCGCCCATGTCGGTTTCTGTACATGCTCAGGGCAAACATGGGGTAAACATACCGTACCCCTTCAACATCCAAGAAAACGGCCAAAACATCAGTAACTTTTATATAGATGTATGGGGCTAACTGCGGATTCCATAATTAATCATCGAAACCTTGCAAAAGTATGCAAAAATGTCCACGGTTCTTTTCAGATTGCAAGAACAATACTAAAGCAAGAAGTTGACCCACCATGTCAACTACAACTATCGTTAGTTGCTCAACCTCTCTCCATCGCCACTTTCTTGATATGTCTCGCCATTCAATTCGGGTGAAAACAACATCTCACACGGCATCTCCTCTCCCGGACTTAAAACCCACCTCATGTCTGGTCATTTCCAGCGATCCAAAACCAAAAAAATGATTCAATCTGAAATCCAACATGGTTTTTCTCAATGCTGTTTAAGACTGTTTACCATGAATCATCATGAATCTCACCCACTTTCAGATGTTCTCCATGGTCCCAGCGGCTGCACGTTGGGGTTGTTGATGAACTGCTCCGCGTTGGCCACGGTGAACTGCACCAGCCCCACGGCCGCGAAGACGCCGCTGAGCGCCGCCGACACGCCCAGACCCACGCCCAAACCAACGCCCACGGCCACGCCAAGGCTGACACCTACCGATTTCCGGATGTAAAGAGCGTATGGGTAGTGTTTAATGTTTCCATGGCTATAATACTATATGTTAAAGTACTTAACTGTAAAGTTAGGGCTGATTTTTTATTAAGTAGAATAATGTTATAAGTACTAATGTTTTTGTTGAATGCTAAGGATGTTTTTTTGGGGTGTTTTTTTCCTTGAAAGTTTGACCTTTCCCATTCCCGGGGCACATCAACAGCAAACATCTCTGACAGCAATCGTTGCACCCGCCTACGGCCACTCCAATGTTGGTCTGCGCCGGCACGGGCACTGATCCCAAAGGCACAACGGGGATGCATGTGCCACAGCCAAAGGCCTCCTGTCCAGATGCTCACCACAGTTGGTCAGTTCATGGTTACGAACCCAAAAATATGGTTGATCAATACATGATGGTTCTTGTCCGATGATGATGGCATATCAAGAATATATCAAGTCTCAAAAGGGATTGGTGCAAGAGAAGTGTGCATGACTAATTTAGGCATACTTCAGGATAAAAACTGAGCATTGTTGCCTCAGGATCTACAAGATAGGAACCCCTGTCGCAATCGGATTCCAAGGAAACATGGTTTCAATATGATTTAACAAAGATAAGGAAGACCATGGAAGACCCTTCAGCCAAATCCAGGTCTTATTTTTCTCTCATGTCCCCAGCCAAGAGGGCTATGGCCTTCACCAGGCTTCGTGGCACTGGCACTCCCTTCGCATCCCCCCCATCCTCATCTTCGCAGCCGGGGCAATCACAAACGCGATTGTTGACGCCGGATTGAGGGATGAAGCATTCCTGAGTGGTCGTTGTGTCCGTTGTGTCAGTTGTGTCATCCTCCTGAAAAATGATGAAAAATATCTAAGTTTTTCGTGGAACCATCTTTTTTGGCCACAATCATCCTTCGGACATCCATGAGCAGCCAAATAAATGGTAGCATCTTCCACTTTCGCTTGAATACAAAAAATCATGCACCATTTTGCCAGGTGATTTACTCATAATAATTACCCATATTTATCCATAATAATTACAGTATTTGGCAATTTTTGAAACTGATCAAAGAAACGGTCCCCGGGCAATCAAACCTCTCGAGGGGTTTGAATGAATCGGCGAAGTCCGCTTGCAGTCGCCGCGACGTTTTGTCACCTGGTGCAGTCTGTGACAGGGCGACCAGGGGGCTGTGTGTTTCCATAAATGGGGGAATCCCAGAAAAATAGCTGGATGGTTAAGAAAAAGTAAAATTGGGCTACCCCCATGACTTAGGAAACCTCTTACTCCTCGTAATGAATCAGCATTTAGAAAAAAGAAAACCCCAAATTCACTTGGCCGCCTGGGACGGTGCCACGCTTGGTCAATAAACCCAGCGACGACGTGTTTTGTTTTTTGTGTGCCTGTTGAGCAGATCAAAACCATCCGATAAGACCACGAAGTCATATTTAATGTTATTATATGGCATCCATCCAAAAATACATGATTGTCATGATATTATATATATCAAAATTTATATATAATCATAACACCATCACCAACCAGTCATAAATGTTTTTTCACTTACTTGTTTGAAGAACATCATTAAACATCATTAAACCCTTGATAAAGCACAGTATCTCCAAAAAGAATTGGCCCAAAACAATGTTCAACCAAATATACTGTCGAATGGGACGTAATCAAAAATTACCAATATCATTTATCACCTGACGAGGAAAAAACATACACCGAATCTCCATTTTGGTACCGCCCTGCGATGGTGAGCCGCCTGAAGGCAAAGTGCGGGGTAGATATGGAGGTTTCAGCCCCAGTTCCAACCTCTCAGGTTGTGGGGCCATGGCTTTCTTGAGCGCAAGAAGCCTCCAAAGGCGATATGCATGCGATATGCCGAGGTGATGGCTTATTTCAAAGGGGAAAAAAATGTGAATTTGGGAAAAAATTGTTTTCCAATTCGTTTTTTTTTGTTATTGTTGAAAAGAAACAACATCCATCAGAAGGGGAAAAAAATGCAGCCAACCAGCACAAACCAATCCGATAGTAGGTTTACCATGTTTTACCAATAGCAAGGCATACCAGGAACCATCAAACGGTCAGCAATAAAAGAGCAACCAGCTACCAGTTTCAGCGCCTCACTTCCTCCTTGGCTCCTTCACTGAAGCCTGTGGTTACACAGTTTTCCTGACCGAGCCGCCCCAAGATTTTCATGGAAATAGGGGATCACCATCCAAACCATGGGATAACATGGCATAACATGGGATAACTGGGATGAATTGTTTTTTTCCAGTTAAAATATCACCATGGGATAACATGGGATAATCATGGGATATCAACTATGGGACAAAATGTCACTTAAAATAGAAAAGGCTGGTAGAACAGTAGAACCACCGAGTTTCCAGCACTTTTTGAACCTCGCGTTCTGCCAGCGCCGAATGCACCAAACCATAGGCTTCCGACTTTTTTTCCATCCCGATGGACGTGGCAAGTGCATCCATTTCGGCCTGCCCCGTGTACTGCAACGGCGAGTACCATGAGTGCAACGTAGTGGATAGACGGATGGATCTATCAATCGATTAAATTCGATAAATATATAGGAAAAAAAAAAGGAAATCGATAGATCACTAGATAGATACACATGTCACATGAACAAAAAGACATATAGGACAGGATGGGACAGGACAGGACAGGACAGGAGAGGAAAGGTAGAGAAACAAACAGATCGGTGGACCGCTGGATCGACGGATAGATAAATATAGTAGATCAAATCAGATTAGATTTGATGATAGATGATAGGTGGATAGCCACATCTTAGGTAGATAGATAGGGTCGATTATATGTTACGATACGAATTATAAGATTAGATTCAGTAGTAGTGAAAATGGCTCAAGAAAAGCTTAGACTGGATTGATTACATAATTTATGTTTGGTTGATTTGATTAGATCGGATTGGATAGATTGGTAAATCGATAAACAAATAGATTGATAAACATATATATATATATATATAACATCCCTATGAACATACACGGGAGGGGGTCCTGCAAGCCATTTTATAGACATAAAATGGTTTTCACTATAAAATGACTAGACACTGCTTATAAAATGAGTGGCCCCAACCCAAATGAAAACACTATATTTTGAGGGGGCCTGACCCCAGAACACCTGGAAATTACTTATAAAATCTCTATAAAACGACTGGTTCCCTTTACAAATGGTCAAGGCGCAAGTCAACAGATTTCAGCACCTCACTTAGAATGAAACCATGTTGCCATTCCTTCATTTTGATTTTGCCATTCCTTCATTTTGTTTCCAATGCCGCCCAGTGCCAACCCTGGCGTTTCAATAGGCAGTTTTGGAATAGTGTGGGCTACTTGTCCTTAAACCTTCAACCCACCATGAAGTTGGTGATTGAGCCAGCATCTGCCATCCTTTTGTATTCCTGGATTTTGCTTCCAATGCCTCCAAATGCAAGCCCTGGCCTCTCAATGGGCTATTTTGGAACAGCGTGGGCTACTTGTATTATTTCCAAGTGCTGCCACTATAAAATGGCTGGCCTCAACCTTTCAACCCACCATGAAGTTGGTGATTGAGCCAGCATCTGCCATCCTTTTGCATACCTTGATGCCAGCCCTGGCGTTTCAATGGGCCATTTTGGAAGAGTGTGTGGCTACTTGTATGATTTCCAAGTGCTGCCACTATAAAATGGCTGGCCCCAACCTTTCAACCCACCATGAAATTGGTGGTTGAGCCAGCATCTGCCATCCTTTTGTATTCCTGGATTTTGCTTCCAATGCCTCCAAATGCAAGCCCTGGCCTCTCAATGGGCTATTTTGGAACAGCGTGGGCTACTTGTATGATTTCCAAGTGCTGCCACTATAAAATGGCTGGCCTTAACCTTTCAACCCACCATGAAATTGGTGATTGAGCCAGCACCTGCCACCCTTTTGGGTTGAAATTGCCTGGAAAGCTGGGTATTCAACCCCATCACCAATTTCAAATTGGGTTGGTGGGTTGAAGCTAGCCATTTGATAGTGGCTAGATTTGGGAATTTGCGCAAGCAGCCCACAAGATAGCACAATGTGGGCTACTGTGTTTTAATGTGGGCTACTTGCACGATTTCCCAAATCTAGCCACTATCAAATGGCTAGCTTCAACCCACCAACCCAATTTGAAATTGGCGATTGGGTTGAATACCCAGCTTCCCCGGCAATTTCAACCACAAAGAATGGCAGGTACTGGCCCAACCACCAATTTCATGGTGGATTGAAAGGTTGGGGCCAGCCATTTTATAGTGGCAGCACTTGGAAATCATACAAGTAGCCACACGCTATTCCAAAATGGCCCATTGAAACGCCAGGGCTGGCATCAAGGAATGCAAAAGGATGGCAGATGCTGGCTCAATCACCAACTTCATGGTGGGTTGAAAGGTTGAGGCCAGCCATTTTATAGTGGCAGCACTTGGAAATCATACAAGTAGCCATACACAGGTGCTGGCTCAACCGCCAATTTCATGGTGGGTTGAAAGGTTGAGGCCAGCCATTTTATAGTGGCAGCACTTGGAAATCATACAAGTAGCCACACACTATTCCAAAATGGCCCATTGAAACGCCAGGGCTGGCATCAAGGTATGCAAAAGGATGGCAGATGCTGGCTCAATCACCAATTTCATAGTGGGTTGAAAGGTTGAAGCCAGCCTTTTGTGTGGTGGCAGCTGGGCGGCATTGGAACCAAAATGAAGGAATGCAAAGAAATGGTTTGCCCATCTTCCCTGAGCATGTCTTCACATGGCACAGGGCCGGGCTCTCTTTCAGAGGTTGTGCCCCCCACCCGAGGCATCTTTGATCAAATGATCAATGGCTGTGGATAAGAACAACCTGGATCATGGCTGCACTGCAAAAACCTGAACAAATCTGGACAAATTTCAGCTACAACCCTGAAATCACTATAAAGTGGGGTGAGTGACCCCCGGAAGGAGCGCCGCTGGAGGTGCATAAAACAAAATATAGCAGACCTTGACCCCTGTCATTTTATAGAGGATATGTTCATGGGTATTATATAACATATATTTATAAACATAGAAGAAGAAAGAACACATATATAGGTAGATTCATACGGAAATAAATACATATAGGTAGATACATAGAAAGATTTGTAGATATGTAGATGTGTATATGGCTGGAGGGAAAGAATAGATGCAAAAAGGTAGATAGATATAATATATAATGTGTATTTCTAAATGGATCGGCAAATATAGATCAAAATATAAAGATAAATAAACATGGAGATAAAGAAATATAAGAGGTAAATAAATGGATGCACACATACATGGGTATAAAGAAAGAACCCTTTTCCTTTCGGAGGCAGCATCAGTATCAACCCATCAATTCGGCCCCGGGTTTGAAATCCGACCATATCCGCCCCTAATCAGGCCATCAGTGTGCCAACATGTTCACCTGCGAATTTGGGACATCATTCTTAGTATGCATTTATATGCATCTATCATACAAATTAGAAACTTGCACATAAACAGCTATAAATGTAATATATATATATATACAAATACAATGTATATGTATAAAAGCTATATTATATACAAATTATATTACAAATGTGTGAAATGGTTAATCCCATCCTTGATGGCATATCTCTACTACTCATACATTGCCCATCATACACTGATCGTTTGGTCAATGACTTATACCGTATACCATGATATACCACCCTAAATCTCTGTAAACTTGCTGAGCCTTTATTTGCCCATATGGTGGTTTCTTAAAATGACGAATCCCCAAAACCATCAAAACCCATGGGTTTCAATACTAAAATGGTCTAATTCTGGGATTTTTGGGTGATTCGGGGGTAACCACCATTTTAGGAAGCCACCATACGTACTTTTTGACTGAACAAAGGCGACTTAGGAAATCAGGCGACTGCAAGTTCTACATTCATCGTCATCAAACAAAAACCTAAGCAGTGTGTTAGGGTGAACTCACTGACTTGTGAGCACCGTCGGTCTGCTTCGTGCGGATCAAGACTATGGTCACCCCAAGCCCTGGTTTGTTGGTTTCGAAAAAAAGGTTGCTTTGTTGGTTTCTCACCTCAAAAAAAGGTTGCTTTGTTGGTTTCAAACCCCCGTTTCTTCGTTAACAAAAGCACTGCCTGCAAGGCTGGCCCAGTATACCCGTCTGCTGTGGCCGACTCCATGGCTTTCCTGACTTCATCATCTGCCAGCGCCCGGCTCACAAAGTCATCTAACGCCAGCTCCAACCTAAGCATTCCAAGTTTATGGATGAAAAGTGGTGAAGCTTGACAGCAGACAATGCAAAATTGAAAATGGATGATGGAACCTTTAAACATCTTGTCCGCAACCTTAACGTTCGCCCAGACTCATCATTGTGACATAACAGAGACAATTCTGTGTTGCTGGGAAGTTGCGAATCCAAGCAAGGCCAAGGGAGAAAATTAGGCCACAGTGGCATGTGAAAGATACCTTGAAATGCAGTTATTTTCATAAGGAAACAATATCACCTGATCATCATGAGGGATCAAAATCCACCACCCCCTATGACCGATATGCTGAACGGGCTAACAACACGCCACCCTCTAGGCCAATATGTTGAACCAGGTAATTACATCAACATTATCTTCATGAAGGAACGAAATCCGCCACCCCCTATGACCAATATGCTGAACGGGCTATCAACATCAACTTTATCTTCATGAGGGATCAAAATTCGCCACCTCCTCCTAACAATATGTTGATTGGGGAAATGACATCAACTTTGTCTTCATGAGGGATCAAAATTAGCCACCCCCTCTGAACAATACGTTGATTGCGGGACATCAACTCCGGGCAAACATCCAGGTTGCAGCGAACATCTTTAAACAAAAGCTTATTTGGCAGCTTCAGAAATGAATGACACTCTCGAAAAAAAACAATAAAAGATTCGCCAGCACTGCAAGGCACCGATTGTTTCTGGGCGTCTTGCTGGCCCTTTCCAGCAACTCGTGTGCCATTGATCCACCGATGCCATCCGGCAATTTCCTCGTCGGAAAGGGAATGCCTCCTGGTGTAGGAAAAGCGCATAATTTGCCCCGCACTGTAACGTCCGCCAAACCCTTCCCTTGCACCACCACATCCAAGGGCTCAAAGCCACAGCCCTGTTTGTTGAAATCGAAAGTATCAAGTGGTGCGGCAGGGCATTGACAAGTAGCGCAGGACCAGTCCGCTTCATCTTCACCTCAGAGAAAATCACTATTAGTTGGGCCTTCCATCTTTAAGCCCACGGGACCCCCCACCTTACAGCAAGCCTATTTGGCTCCTGTGCTACGAAGAGATTTTAGGATACTCAGGGCGTCCCCAATCTGTCTGTGTGGAACTCACTCAGTTTCAAGCGGACTTGACTTCACGAGCATTCTTCAAACCTCGACCTGTGATGCATTCTGTAACCAAAGCATTGGAAGTGATCTTGCCAAGCAGGTTTGCATATATTATCATCCCAGCACCATCAAATAATGCTTTAACACCACGCCATGCCACAGTTGACACAATCGCACACGCTGTTGTTCAGGATCTGCACGTGCTTGCCACAAAATACGCCCGGACAGTAGTAGACACATTCAATCACCTCAGTGTGTCGGGTCAGGTGGAAACATCGGAACATTGAGATTGTTGGATCAATGTGGGATTAATAGTTGGAATTTTCCAACATAAATGCAGCATTAACCCAGATTACCATGATTGTTGGATTTTCTTTTGGTGGCTGACTTGTTGAGCCCTTCCATGGGAATACATTTGCTGAGCCATATCCAAGTGTCAAGGTCATCATAAGTCTGCACATTTAGGGGCATCGTTAAGTATGAAACGCTCAGTAAGGGTTGGGGATTTCTGAAGAGCTGGGCGTCCACATGTTTCAACCAGGGGATTTCTGAACAAGCCGCGGGCATTTTTGAAGATAACATCGCCCACATCTTTTGAAAAAGAGCACTTTGGTCTCATCACTTTAATGACACCTCCGCGACCCAGACCCCACAATGAACACATCCACCACGGGAAGAAACTGCCAGCAGAGTACAGCGAGACAGTGGCTGCCAATGATTCCCTTCCCCCTGGATTTTTTTCTCCAATGGCAAGGCACACCTCCATCATAGAGCAGCGGATCTCCCATGCATTTCCCCGCGCAGCTGGTGGGTTCTCCGCAGCTGGTGGGACATTCGCAGATCCGCGAGTTCACCCCCCTGGGACTGCAGAAGATGGAGGAGCTGCAAATGGCAGCATCACAGCTTTCAGTCGTCTCATCTCTGCCTGGGTCACATAGTTAATTGTGAAGAGTGGGGAAGTGAAGAGGTTGAATGGGTAATAAAGGAAAGTTTCTCATGATGGGTAATAGTATGGATAATAATATGGATAGTAAATGATAGTAATAACATAGACCCGGGCAAGCCGGCGGCGGAAGTTTCCCAAACATAAATGACCTATAGTTCAAAGGCGCCCTGTCCCGACCGTGTCCTTCCCTCGACAACCGTTTGATTTTTTCAGCGAGAGACGAAGCAAAGTCTTCACACTCCACACTTCACACTGCACTCTTCGCACTCCGAACTTGAAACTTCACACTCCACACTTCACACTTCACACTTCGCACTTCACACTTCACACTTCTCACTTCCCACTGCTTCCTTCACACTCCAAACCTCACACTTCACACTGCGCGCTTCGCACTCCAAACCTCGACAACCGTTTGATTTTTTCAGCGAGAGACGAAGCAAAGTCTTCACACTCCACACTTCACACTGCACTCTTCGCACTCCGAACTTGAAACTTCACACTCCACACTTCGCACTTCCCACTGCTTCCTTCACACTCCAAACCTCACACTTCACACTGCGCGCTTCGCACTCCAAACTTAAACTTGACACTCCACACTTCACACTTCTCACTTCCCACTGCTTCCTTCACACTTCACACTTCACACTTCACACTTCCCCTGCTTCCTTCACACTCCAACGTCAGAGCAGAAAAAGTTGATTTTAAATAGAAAATGAAAGCAGCCAGAATCTGAAAGATCCTTTTTTTGTCACATGTATGCAATACGATCATGGTTTCTTGTGTGGTTCGTAACAACGCACACAGAAACGAAAATGAAGTGACACAGGCATTCTGCCGTCTGCAACTCGAAATGACAGGCGAAGATACTGAAGCACGGCAATTCAGATGGACGGACGAACAATGCCATTTGCATTGTGGGAACGATCCTACAGTTGCAAATCACAATGGAATTCCATCTGCAACTCATCCACCAGCACCACTTGCAATCCCATTTACAGTGAGGGAACGATCCTAGAGTTGCAAATCACAATGGAATTCCATCAGCAACTCATCCACCAGCACCACTTGCAATCCCATCTACATTGCGGGAACGGTCCTACAGTTGCAAATCACAATGGAATTCTGTCGACAACAAATGCACGAAACACAGGTGACACCCCATTTACAATGCGGAACCGATCCGAGAATGATCCGAGCATATCCGACCATGATCCGACCACACACGAGACCGTCTCGCAACCGTCGCACCGCAGAGGTAGATCATCGAAGTTCGGGGACGGACTTTGTATGGAAAAACATAGGCTTTCGTGCATCTGCTATCTCTCAAAAACGCATTTCGTGCGAGACTTCCTCCAAAACTCCATCGGCAACTCCTCCACCAGCACCACTTGCAATCATCCCATTTACAGTGAGGGAACGATCCTAGAGTTGCAAATCACAATGGAATTCCATCGGCAACTCATCCACCAGCACCACTTGCAATCCCATTTACATTGCGGGAACGATCCTATAGTTGCAAATCACAATGGAATTCTGTCGACCGCAAATGCACGAAACACAGGTGACACCCCATTTACAATGCGGAACCGATCCGAGAATGATCCGAGAATGATCCGACCACACACGAGACCGTCTCGCAACCGTCGCACCGCAGAGGTAGATCATCGAGGTTCGGGGACGGACTTTGTATTGGAAAACATAGGCTTTCGTGCATCTGCTATCTCTCAAAAACGCATTTCGTGGGAGACTTCCTTCAAAACTCCATCGGCAACTCCTCCACCAGCACCACTTGCAATCCCATTTACAGTGAGGGAACGATCCTAGAGTTGCAAATCACAATGGAATTCCATCAGCAACTCATCCACCAGCAACACTTGCAACCCCATTTACAATGCGGGAACGATCCTACAGTTGCAAATCACAATGGAATTCTGTCGACCGCACATGCACGAAAAACAGGTGACACCCCATTTACAATGCGGAACCGATCCGAGAATGATCCGCCCATGATCCGAGCATGATCCGACCACACACAGACCGTCTCGCAACCGTCGCACCGCAGAGGTAGATCATCGAGGTTCGGGGACGGACTTTGTATGGAAAAACATAGGCTTTCGTGCATCTGCTATCTCTCAAAAACGCATTTCGTGCGAGACTTCCTTCAAAACTCCATCGGCAACTCCTCCACCAGCACCACTTGCAATCCCATTTACATTGCGGGAACAATTTCTTTGACTAACTCGTTCCCTAACGAACTCTTTCTTTGCTAACTCTTTCTTTGCTCTTTCTTTGACTTTCTTTGACTACCTCATATATCCTGACTAACTCTTTCTTTGACTAACTCTTTCCCTCACTAACTCTTTCTTTGACTAACTCTTTCCCTCACTAACTATTTCTTTGACTAACTCTTTCCCTCACTAACTATTTCTATGACTACCTCATATATCCTGACTAACTCTTTCTTTGACTAACTCTTTCCCTCACTAACTCTTTCTTTGACTAACTCTTTCTTTGACTAACTCTTTCCCTGACATTCTAAAAGTCCGTAACACGGAAATTTCTCCCCCTAAACTTCCTTTGAATAATAATAATAATGGAGAATAATATAATGCAAAAGTGCCACTAAGTTTCCATGACTTAGAAGTTTTCATCTTAAATCGAAACTGCAACAAACACCGCCAGAGGTGCTGTTTGCGCTCGCAGGTGCGTGTCCCTGAGAGCAACCCTTCTAAGGACGTACGCATCGCCCTAAGTTCCTATGTTTCTGAAACACACCCCATCTTAACTTAAGTACTGAGTTGGGGGTGTAAAGATGCGCTAACTTGGGGTACCTTTTTCCACATAAGTAAGGGAGGATCATGGGACATTTCACCATGCTGGACAAGAACACGGTGGAAAATAAGGTGGAGTAGGAGAAAAACAAGATGGAAGCCACGAACCCGAATGTATTCACGTTCTTGGACTACGAGTGCAAACCTCTGCAATAGGAAAACGAACCGATGTTTGCATGCATCGTGCGGTTCACAAAGAGACAACTAACCAGCACAACAACATCACCACAAGCACAACGAAATCACAACCAGCACAGCAATATCACCAGCGCAATGAAATCACAACAAAATCACCAACACAACAGCATCACCAGCACAGCAACATCACCAGCACAACGAGATCACCACCACCTGCCACACTCCACACTTTACCCACTGCACACTCCACACTCTACACTTTACACTCCACACTCCGCACACTACACTTTACACTCCACACTCCACACTCTACACTTTACACTCTACACTTTACACTCTACACTTAAGTTGACACTCTACACTTCACACTCGACACTTTCCGCTCCGCAATCCACACTCTACACTTTATACTCCAGGCTCCACACTTTACACTTTACACTCCTCACTCCTCACTCCACGCTCTACACTCCACACTCCACGACACTCAACACTCTACACCCACCACACTCCTCACTCCACACTCCACACTTTACATTCCACACGCCACACTTTACACTCCACACTCGCCACTTTCCACTCCACACTCTACAGTTTACACTCCACACTTTACACTTTACACTCCTCACTCCACACTCAACACTTTACACTCCACACTCCTCACTCCTCACTACACACTACACTCCACACTCCACACTTCACACGCCACACTCCACCACATTCTACACTCTACACACACCACACTCCTCACTCCATACTCCACACTTTACACTCCACACGCCATACTTTACACTCCACACTTTACACTCCACACTCCACACTTTGCACTCCACACTCTACACTACACTATACACTCCACACTCCACACTCTACACTTTACACTCTTACTTTTTACAATCTACACTACACATTCCACACTCTACACGCTCTACACTCCCCACTCCACACTATACAAAGCACTTCCCAGTACTACTTTGCACTGCAAAGCTTACTACTTCCCAGTACTTTGTACTACACAGCTTGCACAAAGCACTTCCCAGTACTACTGTGTACTACACAGCTTGCACAAACTACTTCCCAGTACCACTTTGTACTACAAAGCTTGCACGAAGCACTTCCAGTACCACTTTGTACTTCAAAGCTTGCACGAAACCGTTCCCAGTACTACTGTGTACTACAAAGCTTGCACAAAGCACTTCCCAGTACTACTTTGTACTACAAGGCTTGCAAAGTCGTTCCCAGTACTACTGTGTACTACAAAGCTTGCAACAACTACAACTACCCCCACTACTACTGTGTACTACAAAGCTTGCGCAAAGTCGTTCACAGTACTACTTTGTACTGCACAGCTTGCACAAAGTCGTTCCCAGTACTACTGTGTACTACAAAGCTTGCACAAAGCACTTCCCAGTACTACTGTGTACTACAAAGCTTGCACAAAGCAATTCCCAGTACTACTTTGTACTACAAAGCTTGCACAAAGTCGTTCCAGTACTACTGTGTACTACAAAGCTCGCACAAACTACTTCCCAGTACTACTGTGTACTACAAAGCTTGCACAAAGTCGTTCCCAGTACTACTGTGTATTACAAAGCTCGCACAAAGCACTTCCCAGTACTACTGTGTACTACAAAGCTTGCACAAAGCACTTCCCAGTAC